TAATGAAGGAAAGATGTATTTAATATACTTTCGAAAGATTTGAAAGTCGATCAAAACTACTTTTATCTTAAAATAATGTAACAAATTTACTTATTAAGTGAAATAATCAGTTAATTTTGTTGATTTCAAACATATTATTGAATTGAATCTAGTTTAAAACTGTTTGTGAGTGTGTAAATGTAACTCTTTATCATCAATGACTTCCTTTGATAAGTTTGTAATTTGAATAAAGCATCTCATGTTTATATAAGCTGTGAATTCCAAGTAATGCTCTTGGATATTTGATACAGCATTGTAAATAATGTAAACAAATTATAAAGAATGTTTTTGGAGCGATATCTACCTCTAAGGGGCAAATTTATTCGCTAAAACAGCATCAATAAAAAACAATTAAGCTTCAATGTGTATTGTACATAAATACAGAATTAATTTTGGAAACTATAATTTTTTTTATATATTCACGCCTTTTTCTCGAATGAGTAGGAAGAGACCACGGATCTCCACTTTCTACAGACATTCCTCTCTCGCTTTCTCTTTATGGGAACATTGATTATGGGAATTATAACTTTTCATATTAAACTTCAAATATTTGAAATAACCTATGTTTTTGCTTAAGTAGAGAGAATATTTACATATACTTGTATATCTATAGATGGTTAACGAAGTCAAGGGTGATTTTTTAGTAGTTCATTTTAATCATTACTATAATAAAAAAATTTAACATATATATTTCGTAAACTTTTCCGTACACGTTTATTAAGAACCATGTACATTCAGTAAAAATGTCTGAAATTCAAGCCCAAACAAGATTGTATTCATAATCATAATTATTGTTGCTTGTTATTAGTAGCTTGTTAAGTGTTCCAAGAACCCTTACAATGAATTGTATTTACGGTTAACCAAATCCTTAGTATGAGTATTTGTTCATAAACGTGTCGTTCATCGAGAACTTTTCAAGTATGTTACAAGCTTTTAAGTGCCATTTTACTGAGCCATGCAGTACATTGGTGTTTATTATACTGAATTTAAAAACTCACCTATTAGTATAGGCAATGCAATCATTATTGTTTCCCTACAATCAAACCCTCGTCTCATGTTGTAATGATGAAGACTCACAAGCGAATAAGAGACGTCAGGCCGTTTCTCCACTGCTCCGGTCCGGCAAACGTTAATTACCGATCCGATTTAGAAACTCACAACTTTATTCCGGTTTTTTATCCGATAACTTGCTAGGTCGGAACGCGGTGTTTTATCGGTCCAAGTATCCAAGAGGTTATAAATTATTATTCACAGGTTTATTTATAGTTTGTTTAATTTGAAAGAATCTAGATAACCTGGACTAGTGTTGCCCAAATGCAAGACCAAGACGAGACTTAGGCCAGTCTTGGTATTGGTCTCGCGTCAATACACCTGGTCTTGATCTTGGTCTTGGTATTGCGCTCTCAGTCTTGGTCTTGGTCTTGATCTTGCAGCAAGAGTCTCGCAAGTCTCGCAAGACTTGCAAATACCTATTAGCCTATTGCTATTTATTGAACACGTTAGTTTAGATTTTAGATTATGATTCGCGTTGTAAGACGTATGTAGTTGACTCTGTAACTACATACGTCTTACAGCGCGAATAATATTTTAATCAACAATCTAGCACTAGCCTGCAAATTGCAAAAAAAAATTGAGTTTCGCGGGCTATCCTATGCTACCTATGCGGCCAAAATAAGGAAGTGCGTGTGTGTTGAGATTAGAAGATTTCATTACAGTGTGCGTAGGTACATTTTTTAGGCAATTTGTCGTTACTCGTGACTGGCGCGCTTTGCTACGTAGGTACAGTCGTTAAAGTATGTGTAAGTGAGAAACGATGTAGGTACCTACTTCAACAAAATTGTATTCCTTAGAAAAATAACGACGATTATTTTTATTTATTTAGTAAATCATCGCTGAAGACAATAGTCGCTACTAGAGTAGGTACGATAGAAGTTGATAAATCGACACTGCAAATCTCGATTTTTGGAAGTGTGTGATTTTAAAACAAAATGCGTAAAGCAATATGACGTCGCTCATATTTGGAGCTTTTCCACGTTTCAAGTTTGTTAAAATCACCCACTTCCAATCTTGCAGTGCAATGTTCTTTAAAAAAAAAGGTATAATAGGTAATAATACCTAATATAAACTATATTTTTATTACTTACAACAATTTTTATAATATCTACCTATCTTTACGACTACAATCTTCCTTGCGAGGACAACATAATCTATTTGTGTCCGTTCTGAGCACCCGGAAACTTATTTTATTCTTTGGGACATGGGCGGTGGCGGCGACCTTTGACATGAAAGCGACGGTGGGGACACAAAGTCTAGGAGCGGACTAAATTTTTACCTATTTTGGTAGGGTTGTCAATGTTGGCATTAGCACAGAAAAATAAAATTAAGTAAACACAACGTTTATCAACTTTTTAATAACTAGGTATCCACGATAGAATATTTTTTCTACTAATAAGTACTCCGTCTAAATATATTTTTCAATAATTTGTTGTGTGTAATTGAATGGTAAACTCTACATCTTACTTGAGAGCTTTTTTTTTTAAATGGAATGGAAAGCACTGACATGGCATAAACACTTTTAAATTATGCTGCTTACATTTTAGTACCTAGGTATATCACTCACTATCTATTATTTACCGATATTAACAATGATTATTTCGAAATCAAAATATTCGCTATTCAATAGATGCAATACCTACTTAGTTATTAATTATCATCTCGCCCGACAGCTTTAAACGCTGAAATGTTCGAATTCGAGCCAGTGTGAGATTGTATTTAAATACAAGAAACTCAGAGCATTCAATTTATACCTACCTACTGCTGAGACATCTTCAAGGTCATTTAATTTTATCCTCCTGTACCAACCCTACCAAAATAGGTAACAATTTTGTGGGCCTCTGTCCGGACTCTTTGTCGGCGAATGCGGCGCTCAAACAGTGTCAAATGCTGTGATACACTCGTTGCAAACCGCGGCCTCTTTGTCGGTGAATTATCAAATAAGTAGGTATATAATACATCGACCGACCAACAGTTTATTCGCAGAACGTCACATTTTCCCAATCAACCTTGAACCTTAATTCTTTAGCGATAAAGTTGAAAATCTGTTAAAGAAATTTGACAGATTGTAGTAGCTTGATGTGCTGGCGTCTGTACCATAATATTGGCTGCCGTAGAAACTGTTACTAGACCTACTCGACTCGCAGTTAGTTTTAAATTTTGCTAAATAGAAGAATAATATAAACTTTGAAACATAAGTAGGTACCTACATAATGTTTATATAATTTAGTTGGCTATAATTTTAAGCACATACCAACCTACGAGTACTAACGTTAGATCTGCACATTAGACATAAACAAGCATAATATATTATTATAGGTTAGTTGATACCAACAAGGTATGATCTTTGCTAGAAAGTTATTCTGGGTAAATTTTATCACATGGGATGATGGTAACAGATTTGTGAGTATTAACACGCTACCTACTTAATAAATTGTTGAAATATAATAAGTACTTCCCTACCTAATCAATACAATACCTTTCAGTGTTCTTTCAGACGAGCGGCACGTTTAGTGTTATGACGATACCAATGGTTTTAATACTGGGGAACGTCTCTCAAAATCGGGATTGAAACCAAATACCTACTTAATAACGCCCAAATCTCAGTTTGTCTTAACTGCAAGACGCAAGAGTCTTGCAGGCTTTAGTATTGTCTTGCTCAAGTCTTGCAGGCTTCAGTCTTGGTCTTGGTATTGCTACAATAAGGCGGTCTTGGTATTGGTCTTGTTCTTGCGAAAATGCAAGAACAAGACCAAGACTGCAAGACCAAGACCGATTTTGGGCAACACTAACCTGGACCAAACCAAATTATGTTGCTATTTATTTATATTTTTATACCATAGTATTAGTGAACTAATTATTAAGTAGATTATAATATTTTAAGATAGACAATATAAAAAAGTAATAAACTTGCCAGGGCAACAAAATATTCAGAATTTAGAACGTTTTATTAATAAAATAAAGTATAATATGGATTTTTGTTAATATAGGTGTTGCGTGATAAATATACAAGTATCGATTATTGTCGGATCGGATATAGTGGAGAAGCGCAATCCGGCCTTCCGATATTTTTCTCATGACTCATTCCGGTATCCGACGCCGGACCGGAGCAGTAGAGAAAGGGCCTAAGACGATAATAAAGCTATCTAGACGAATTATGTTACGATATCAACTCACACTTACCCACATAACAGAATATCTAATATATATAAAGTTCTCGTGTCACAATGTTCGTTCCCATACTCCTCCGAAACGGCTTGACCTATTCTTATGAAATTTTCTATGCATATTCAGTAAGTCTGAGAATCGGCTACGATCTATTTTTCAAACCCCTAAGTAATAAGGCGTGTTCAGACAACAGTTTTTTTAATTTTTTTAATAAAATTATTTGTTTTCATTTTTTTATGATACAACATACAAAAATACATACAACCCCTAATTTTCACTCCTCTACAAACCCTTTTTTTTATTATTGTAGATAGTTATTTTTATTAAACTAAAAAAATGTTTCCTAGAAATAATATACATCGCAAAACGTTTGCCGGGTAAACTAGTATCAATATATTTTTTATGATTAGAGCAGTGTTGGCCTAGTGGCTTTAGCATACACATTAGGTCGTAGGATCGATCTCCGGCTGTGCACCAATGGAGTTTCTTTCTATAAAAGTAAAGGAAAACATCACGAGGAAACCGGCTTGCCTTACACCCGCAAAGTCGACAGCTTGTTGTCAGGCACAGGAGGCTGATCAACTACACCTACTACGCCATCCAGTTGTTCGAGGTGTCAGGCTTCGTCATCAGATTAGATATTTTGAGCAAAAGCGTGTTGAAATAGTTGAAGTATCATTATACTTTATACGGTAACAATGATAATATAGTAATAAAATAATTTTCTTCAGGTTTTCACGATGTGTTACAAGGGCAAATGTTTACATTGCATCGAAGTGGAGACGGGTTCGCTCATCTGGGCTATTTTTAATGTGGTAAGTTATTATATTCTTCTATTAAGTCTTCTAAAGAAACAACATCGCAATGCTATATTGAGAATAGCTTTTTCAATCACCAACATCAAAAAACCAGTACAACAGTAAAAAATAATACGTATTGTTGACAAAACAGATTACATCGATAAACAAAATATTTGAAACAGAACACATAAGTAAGTCTATTTATTCATGATATTATATAATGGTAACTGAAATTAAACATTAAACAAACAACTTAATATTTAAGAAAAAACTAAATTGTTCCAACTCCTACGTAAAGTCAAAGTCTACCCGCTTCTCACAATCTGATATATAAAATTCTCGTGTCGCGGTGTTTGTAGTTAAACTCCTCCGAAACGGCTTGACCGATTCTCATGAAATTTTGTGTGCATATGGGTATGTCTAAGAATCGGACAACATCTATTTTTCATTATTTTTTAGATATTTTTTTTTATGATACAGCATTAAAAAATACATACAACCCCTAATTTTCACCCCTCTACGATCAACCCCTATTTTTAATTATAAATGATATACATGGCAAAACGACGTTTGCCGGATCAGCTAGTTAATTTATAAATTTTTAACAGTTATTTTCTCATTATTCCAGATCCTGACGGGATTGGCGTGTCTGATATGTATTGGTGTCTTTATCTATATAAACGTGATGGTGAAAGACGTACATTTCGAGGAATCAATGGATGGTTATACCGTTTTAGCAGTTGGTGTATCCAACCTTATATTAATGGTAGTGCTAGCATTTAGTGCTATTGAGTTCATGTTCACGATGTTCTTGCTTGTGGGCGTCATCAAAGTGAGTACAGAACACATTTCGATATTGTCTATGGTTTACTGGACGTTTTGAGATCGAAAATCAAGACGTATTAAATCATGCTATAGACATCGTTAAAAAAACTTTAAAAATTTACTGATTTTATACTGAAAATTAAGATTTAAAAACAAATTTTATTTACCCTACACTAGCTAGAAGGCTTATGTCTGATTAAGGAGACAAAATGACAGACCTTCCTTTATTCATGGCTAGATCTTTGCCGCCTTAAGCATTTAATATACGTAGCATTTTAAGTTATTGCCCTCAAATAAGTCAAATTTGTCCCTTTTCGGTGGAGAACTTTTGTAGTAGCAACACTTATGAAATGTCAGAATTCTACGGAATTAAAAATTAGTTCGTAATAAAAGATTGAAGATTATTTTGAGGAAGAACTCGTGCTGTTCTAACCTAAATAGAAGTCAATCTGGCTAAACACTGACTGGCTGGCCATGGCCCATATCTAAGCTTTGATTGCATACGAGCGACGATTGAGGTCGCTACAACGTATTCCATTTGTAATTATTCTCATTACTAGAATATTTATTGCTATATGAATACAATATACGAGTATTAACGAATGTATTTCATGCACATTGGTACTATATCCATGGAAATACCTTTTAAATTAATTAGGAACTTGAGGCTATTTTTCAAACAACTTTGTTCTGTTATATTGGGGGTTGACTAGGTATTTATGTTTCCCAAGTATCAGGAAACTAGCTTTTATATTAAATATGTTTTTTCTTTCAGAAACACGTGGGGTATGTGAAGGCATACTTCGTTTATGGTGTGGTTAAAATTATTATTGGTTCCCTCAGCCTCATTGGTGTCTTCATAAATATTAGTGATTATCCAGCGTTATTTGCAATTGTTTTGTTTTATGGTGAGTATTTAGCGCAAACAAATAATTACATTTTTACAAAGCAAGCGTGTAGATTTTAATGGATGTTACAATAATACTATTATAGTTAAAAGTGTAAGGGCAAGTTGATCTGGTTCTTAAGGAATGAAATTAAACACTTCACTGATTTTACGTAAACTATATGACTTCAAACTTGAACAAAGGAATTGCCGGTGCGCATGTGTTACAACCTCTTTCCATCTGAACATCCCACTTCGGCCAGATTTTCGAGTCAATTCGTAGCAATTCGTAAACAACTAAACAAATCAAATGAGTAACTATTGCACATGCGCACTTGTAGCAATATTCAATGAATATATTTCATAAAAAATGTTTAGAATTTCATTAAATAAATATTAAAATCTAACAATAGTATGCATTCATAACGTATCATAATGAAATATCTTAAGTGCGACTTTTAAGTTTCCTTCGCCAGGCAACATTTTAACGCCCGAACCCAATGATTAATCAACAAATCTGAGATCAGACCGTGACAGTCGATCGATCTCCTATCTGCATCCCAATAACCAAACCGAAGACAATCCATTTTTGGTAACGGATAAAATGTTCTTTGTCGTTCCATTTTAATGAGTTTGCACTCATATTTGATAATCAATGTAAACCAAATAAAGTAAATAAACCGTCCAAATAACATTAAAATATACATGTGTATGTTTAAAACATAGCAAATAGTTTTTTTTAATTATTTAAAAAACTGGTGTAAGTTAAAATCTGTTAAAATAATTGACTCTTGAAATCGAGCTTTCGTCAACTGTCATTTTCATACAAAGGTCTATCCATAGACACCGATACAACCTCCCATGAATAGCTAGTATGACAGATGGCTATTACGATCCGTCGATTGGTTATTGGCACATTTGTTACAACATTTGGATTAAGATTACTATCGCAGATGGTGGATTATGGATTGAGATATTTGCAATTTTACTTTCAGTGTTCCACTGTTTGGTACTGCTGATGGTTCGCAACACGTACTTGAAGTTCGACGAGGGTTCAATTATCCAGCAATATATGCACAAGCCCCTTGTTTAAGGATGGTTTCATATTTTTTTCACCTTTTTATATTTTTAATTATTTTTTCAACTTAATATAGATAGGGTTGTTTTTTAGTAGTACTTTTAATTTTTTATAAATTATGCCCGTAAGGCCATGTTTCAACATCATTAATACCAGGCCGGCAACGCACTCGCGAGCCATCTGGCATTGAGTGTCCATGGGCGTTTGGCCGCCCGTTTGCCCCGTTCTATAAAAAAAGCATCTGTAATTGCTTAGACTCGTTAGATATTAAAACGAGCGGTTTTTTTGAATTTCTAATTTACAAGGCTTTGGTTATTATAGTAAGCGATCTAGATTTATCATTTTAACATTGTTTATGTATGTGTGCGTATGTGACGTCATATCATCAACTATTTGCCATATAAATTGTATTAAGTTTGGAGTGCGAATTGTGTGTATGTGCGTTGTACTGCATAAACATAAAACATATTTTCCTAGCTTCAGTTCCAGCTTTAGGTCTTGAAATATATTTTAAAAAAACATCCGTAATATTTATACAGTTAATAGTCTATCTCAATTATAAAATTCCTTGTTCAACGTTATTAATACAAATCTTAATTGAAAGGATTATCGTTCTATGAGCTCTAAAAACTGGGGATAATATAAACTGCGATACACATATGGAGATTTTTAATAATTTTTAAAAGACCATGAAGAACGGGTTTTCTAACATCATGAGAAATTTGGATTTGGGCACCTCTGCCTATAAGTTAATTGAAGAAAAGGCTTTTTAATTTACCGCCTAAGTTATGTACAACGAACATAGAATTAAACCTATTATTATGTTTTTAATTGAGCGATAAGAACTAACTCTCAGAATTCATTTAATTGATTATAGTAGGTTACTATTATAAGGAAACAATGTATGTTATATTGAATAAAGGGACTCCATATATTATTACAGTAGTGTTGTTTTCCTTATTCCCTAACCAAACAATAAAAGCTTTATACTTAATTTTAGGTTTGCTCTATATACATTATACAATGTATATTATACATATAAAATATAATTAATTAGTATCCGAGTCGCCATTCTAGCGAGTTGTGGGCAGCTAGTCTGTTCCTCATGACTGAAGCATATAAAATAACAGAAACACATAAAGGCAAGGAATGAATCTTTATCAATTTACTATTTTTGTAAAGTAAGGAAAAGATTGGTTTAAACATATGAAAGATTAAGCTAGTTATTGAGAATCGAACGTGAGCTTTTTGGTTTTTATGAGAAGAGAAGTGTTGATGAAAGTAATTTTATGTTGGTTATAGCAGATGTTTTATATAAGATACTAGTGGACCCCACAGACGTTGTCCTGCATGATATTTAAAGCGATTAGGATATTAAGCAAAGTATGAAAGTACCGACTGCAGTGCCATCTGCCGGGCTGATTTGTGAATCTAAACCATTCCCAGATCCCCTTGAACACACACAAAAAATTTCATCAAAATCGGTCCAGTCGTTTGAGAGGAGTTCAGTCACATACACACGCACAGAAGAAATATATATATAAAGATAAGATATAAGAGTTGTATGTTAGGCACTCTCAATGTTGAATTTTCATTATGAAAAATCCTGTAGCGGTATACTAAGGCACGAAGTGTATGATGTGCATGAGTGGATTAATCTGTACTGTCAACTGTGAGCTGTCGTCTGTCATATTAGAATTGAGACATTATCTACAGTCTGTGAATAATAAATATCTAAGTGTAATATTGTAATGGCTAAACTTTCCAATATGGACCATCGATTTGAATGCCCATATTTTTTTTGTAGATAGTACTCACTAAAAGAAAGCGTTTTGCAAAGTTTTAAGTTGCGGAAACTTACGGTTCATGAGATACATTTATTTTTACTTTCCATACAAATGGGAAAAAACACGCCATAACATAATAAATTTGACAAATAATTGATGTTAAACGTCAATTCACGTTTCAATTAGTGTAGGTCAGTGAAAATATCGATACTTTAAAGTGTTTACTTACTTTATTTCCAAAACTTTATATCCAAAAAGTACCCAAAACCGAATCAGAGCAGCCAGATCCACGTGGTCTTGTCTGCCCTACCCCTAGAGTGTATATAAAAAATCGGAGGCGCGGAGGAAGAGCAGCCCCCACCTACTACCTACCACCTAACTAAAATAAAATGCCTGTGCTATGGTACGCAAGGGTGTAGAGGCTGAATTTCCCGTAGCGCCGCAGCTGTCCAAAAAATCTATTATTATTATTGTTCGGTTAGGTTAGGTTAGTATATTAATATTTTTGATGTTATACTTTCTTTATTATAAAAAATTGATGAGAGTGAAATTTTACGATGCGCGCGCACCGTTACACAAAATTAACAGAATGAAGTTGCCCACGGAAGATGCTACGGCATTGGACATAATTTAAAAACAACATTCGAATAATAATAGAATACTTAATGTAAGAGAATAATAATAAATATTTATTTATTTAATTTTTCAAATGTAAACTGAACTTTATTGACTATAATGACTCCTTTTCCAGTCTTTGATTATTTAATTGTAATTGATTATTTGCTTGCAATCAAAAACTATTTTTAATAATGCCAAAGAAGTATAACTTCTTACGCGCGTACATAAGTACACGCGTCACGCACCCCTTTTTTTTAAAATAACTCTAAAAACCTCAATACCTCTTCAAAGCATCGGATCTATTCGATGTATCGCATTGTAAACATCGATAATTAAAAAATCGATTTTCACTTTCAAAGAACAGATTATTTTTCCGCATCCCTATTAATTTTATAAACGCAAACGGCCATTTCGAATGAAGATTTTGCCAGAACAGTTAGTCTAGTCGACAAGTTGAAAATGGTACAAAATAGAGATACTGCTCTTAAAATTATGTGTGATACCTCATTGGATCCGGAATGACGTATAGAAAAATGTGCTAAAAGCGTGTATTAGCACATAAAAAATTGCAAAAGTTATACACAATTAAAGATGAAAAAAAAATGTCATTTAGTTTTTTGCCAATATTTAATAAACTATAACAAAAAAAGATTCTAAAAGAGGAGGAAATTTCCAATAAAAAACTCTATACTCCCGGAACTCTATCTCCATTATTTATAATTTTAATTTAACGCTGAAAATAGGTCTACGCGTGACATTTTTAGGATTCGCGCGTGGCGTCAAAAGCGACTACGGCACATTAATTAATTTATTTAAGGTGTTGAATATTTTTTTTTAAATTTGAAAAAATTATGGTGTATTCTGAACTCTATAAATAATTTATTCCCGTTGGAAATTTTACTTAAAGTTAATTTTTCAACAAGTTAAACAATTGTTAACTAACGAAATTTTCTCGAACGACCGTCTTAATTGTAAGTGAAAAAAAATGTTTAAATAATGGTCGTAAAAATATTTCGCTTCGTAGAGCCTTTCTTACATACATACTTAACAAGATCGTGCCATAAAAGTTAAAGAAATATTTATACTTTGTTTATAACATTTTTTTTACTTAAACAAAAACTTAAAAATCCATGTAATGTTGTTAATTTTTTTTTTTTTCTAAATCATCGTATAATCGTTTTTTTATTAATACAAGATATTTATTGATTTGCAAAAAAAAATTACCGCCATTTGTTAATAAATTTTTTTAAACAAATTGATTAAATCAATATTAAAAAAAAAAAATTACACAACTCTATTACATTAAAAATATTATGATTTTTAAAAAAAAAATTTCCTTAATAACAATTTTTAATTGTTTATAATCGTTTTTTTAAATTTTCTATTGTTTAAATAATTAGTTAAGAAATTTTTTTTTTCTAAAAATCATAATTGACATTTCTCTATAAAGTAACAGAAAAAAATATTTTTTTTTAATCAACAATTCTATTGTTTATTAACTTACCAATTTGTTATAAACAAATGTTCAACTTTTTTTTATTTTTTTTCTAAAACTTCTAAAATTAACAAAAACAACCATATATAACAAAGTCTAGAAAAAAAAATATTTTTAAATAAAAGTAATATTCATGTATATATAATATAAAAAGATAATTATTATAATAATTCAGAAAAAAATAAGGGTTGATTACTGCCCCCCCTCAACCCCGCAAACTCACCCATGTTGCAATAAAACAACCCTAAATAAATGAAGAGGGTTTTATTGTATTGATTTTGTGCAGGTGATACACGCCTAGAAAAGAGATGTTGACACCAGTTGTGGATGCTCTACCAAATACTCCTGAAGCCTTCTACAACAATATGCATTAAAAACTCATAATGTGGTTAAACAAACAATTAAATGTCTAAAAGCATGCTTTAGATATTATCTTCTTATACATAGAATCATACATTATATACCTAAAGTGGCTGCATCTATTGTAAATGCTTGTGTGGTATTACATAACATTTGCAATGGAGTAAATTTTCCAAGAGTTCACTCCTGAAGAAGTTTTGCAAGAAGTAAATGACATCTTACTTCAAATTTGTAATTGACAGGAATCAAAAAACATTGATTTTCAAAGTGTGCAAGGAGACACCTTAATGATACCTTGTGGTCAATTTACAATACAAAGTAATGGTACAAGCTCAATGTCTGCTCTACAGATATTTTTACCACGCATGAAGATCGACGCACGCAAGAGGTGCTTACTGCTTGAATATTGGGCCTCATCATCAGCCTCTTTATTTGGTCCATTTCTGGATGTAGGCCTCCTCTGGCCTCTGTATCCACTGGGAGCCAATCTCCTTTATGATGTCGTCGGTCCTCCTAGTCGGTGGGTAGCCGCACGTTCTTTTGTCATGCCGAGGTCCATCGGTTCTAGTCCATGCGTGCCATGTGGCGTGATCACCGCCACTTAGATGTTGCGACAGATCTTAATACGTCGCTTACGCCGGTCTTTTATATTGTGCCTAGTTCTTAGTAATAGCAGAAATATTAATGTAATTAAATATATATTATATTTATCATGTATATCAGGATTTCGTTTATTTTTTTAAATATAAGAATAAAACATCAAATACTTAATTTATTCGTCAATTATTGTCACAATTATTAATATATAATTTATTAATAAAACAACTTAAAACTAGATATTGTTAATTGACATGTATTTTATTCATTTACCACATAATCTCCTAATTAATATTAATTAAACTAATATCTGATTGTGATCGTTATGTTATATTATTATAGAGGTCTCTTGAAATATGAAAATTTAGGGTTTAAATTTCTAGCATTTGAACACGTCATGTCTGTATTTAGAATTTCAAACGGTGTCCTTAGGTAGTGTGTAAAAAGGGCCATAGATGGCGTTAAACACAACCTCTTTAATATAGAGTATAGACTATTTGACCACTTTTATTCTGTGTATAAATTATTAATTTTGGCAACAGTGATTAAATCGATACTGTCTTACGTTTTGAGTTTCTATTTATAAGAGTCCAAGGTATTTCAAAATTTTCATTTTTTTTCTTTTTCCAGTCATTCTTTCGCCAGCCGCTACCTTTTTTAGGTCGGGGCCTCAGATTCATGACCATTTGTCAATCTAATATGCAAGTAGGAGATTGCCCTCCTGTGCCTGACGCACGCCGTCGGATTTTTGGGTCTACTGAGCCGGTTTCCACACGATGTTTGTTAAATGCGCACATAGAAAGATACTTCCTTAGCTACCGAACCTACGACCTAAGGGATGACAGTCGCACGCTGAAGTCACTAAGCCAACACTGCTCTTTCCAGGCTACACTAGTATTAAAAATAAAACAACATTTGAAAATATAAATATAGCGAACAAAATGCATTAAATTTTATAGTGCCTCAAAATAACCGCATCAAACATCCAGGAAGAGGTTTGGCAGGAATGGGTTACTTGGGTGTGAATCTGGCGCTCGCTACCACTCTAATTCTGAGTGGCTTTGAGTTCACATTCTCCATATTATTGCTTGTGGTTGTCGTTAAAGTAAGTTGTATATTGTGTCCGCAAACTCGCCTTTGATTACACTAAAGTAATCCAGTCGCGTTATCTTTTTCCACGTTAAGTTCCATTACTGCATCTGTTATTTAAATTTCTGCTGACTAAGAAAGTCTTTGCACCTTCCAATCGGAAACAAAACTGTTACGCTGGATTCGAATCCAAAATGGAATACATTCTCTCAGTTCGGTCTCAGTCGATCTGGGCTATAACTGACGCCCGTTAGGTTGTTGGTCAAATTTATTTCCTTTAATGAGATGTCCAAATGGGATCTAAGTCCATTTCAAGCAAGCAGATGCTTTTATGTCCAATCTTCTATTCTATAAAAAAGATCAGTGGCGCTAGAATTTCTTTAGGTCTTGGCCTCAGATCTGAATCTGTTTCATAATAATTTTTAAATCTAATGGGCAAGTAGGTGATCAGCCTCCAGTGCCTGGCACACGCCGTCGACTTTTTGGGTCTATCACATGTCGGTTTCCTCACGATGTTTCTTTTCACTGTTCGAGCAAAACTGAAGCAACTAGGCCAACACGGCTGTTTCTATTCTATAGGAGCATCATAATATGCCAGGGTTAAAGTTGCTTTATTCTTCAGACGCGAATCATTCTTCGCGTATAGTGTCGTTGAAACAAACCTGGCTGGTCGATGTTTATTTAAAAATTAGACTATTGACTATCTATTCTTAACGTACGTAGTGTATAATACAATTTTAAATTATCTTGTTAGGTTTATATGAACCTATCCTATTTACTTTTTTATATTTCTTTGATTTCAGCGCTACATTCCTTAATCCTCCTGATGGTTCGCCAGACTTACCTAAAGTTTAAAGCTGATTGTTGTATGGAGGAGCCCTTAGTAAAATAGAAAACTATTTAAAAAAATCATAGAAATGTAAATAGTAGTAGCTTTTTAAATTTTATCATTTCAAAATTGTACCTACATATTATATGACACGCTATATCTATAGCTTTAGAGTCATGTTCTATACTTCGAAAACAATGTAAATAATTATTACTACTAAAAATATTACTACATAAAGTAAAATAATTTATAATCATTAGTTTTGACCAAAGTTAATAATCTCCAATAGCCGTGATCGTCTAGTGGTTAGGACCCTACGTTGTGGCCGTAGTAACCCAGGTTCGAATCCTGGTCACGGCAGTGTGATATACACTGTCACGGTGGAGTTATATTTTTGTTTTTTTATTTTATCTCAATATTTTTTAAAAAAAACTATACATGTTATAATGTTACTTTTAACTGCGTTTTGACGAAATCAACGTATATCGAAATTTGCGACAGAGTATATTTGTATTGAAATCTAATTATTTTAAATGGATATAAGTACAAAATTGTAGTCCGGCGGTTGCTACACTATTTTTATAATACACTAATAATATAGTTTAATTTTTTGATATAGCGCCATCTATACATTATGTTTTGTAATATTTTAAACTAAAAATTTCTATTATGAATCTACCAAGAACATAGCCTTCTAAACGAACCGCTAGATGGCGTAAGGTGCTTTGTTATGGTTCATTTACGAACGCAGCTGTTCGCTATCATAGAAATCTGAGAGAAAAGGAGTGGTGATTACGCTGTGTTTGCTAATAATTTACGTTTTTTATATAGTTCGGGACCAAATAGGGATTTGTGCTTTTAATATGTGATTCTATTAGTGCTTCTGGATCATATATATTATTGGTGACTGTGAAAAACTTTGAGAAATGTATTAATTAAGCACGTAAACGTTGGTTATGACGTTTACTAAGGCTTTCGCGTGTGTGGGTGCGTGTTCAACGTGACATTGCTGTTGTCGAAGCGAAACAGTAACGGAATTAATCTCATGGATGATGATTTTTGTGAGTATAGCTTTGTTTTAAATAATAATGTATGCTCCATATAATTTTGTGTTGACGTGGATTTTTTTCAGTAAATAAAATATTTGTAATGTTAATATAAATGTTTCGTATAAATTTAACATTAAACAGGAGAAAATATTTACATCGTCGCTTGCTGTTACTGTCATTATTTTCTTATTAATTATAACCGCTGCATTACTTCTAGGTTTTAATAAAAGAAACGTACTTTATTTCTATAAATTACTATTTGAATGAAAGTGGAAAACAGTTAATAACTCGTGGATCTGACTGTCAATTTATTTAGGTACGTAAAATAAGATTGTTTTTAAAGAGAACTCTTTAAGCGGATTATGTACTGAAATAAATATAATAACAAATTATATTTATTATTCAAATTATATATTATACTATAACATATATATATGTTATACATACAGAAATACGATAGTTACAAACCCTTCGTTTATTACGATTACTGTATTGCGCCAAAACGGCTGAACGAATATGACTGAAATTTGGCACTTAGCTTGTTAAATAAACGCGAACTAACGTGGTCAACGTCTAGTATTATACATAGACAAACATATTTATGTTGTATTATTTAAATTTATTTTACCGATTCATGCGCGATGGCTAATCTATTGAAAAAATTACGCAGGATAGTAAAGAACAAACTCACACAAGCATGTCTCTATTCTATGACTCTCATACTCTGATGGGACAGATCTTCGACACGAGGAGTATCACCAGAACAGGGCAATCTTTACCCCAAGTATACGGACCAACTTACTAACATTGGGCCACCATACCTTTTACCACGCTGTACGCACCTGGTTCAACCCGAGATTTCATTGACAGAAAGAAAATTAAGTTTATTTATTAAAATCCGTTTTTCTTTTAAATTTTACAAGGTCATTTCAATGTTAGAATTATGATTAGGTCATCGTTGAACAAGTTTAGAAGTTGTGTACATAATGGGATTGTCGTGTAAGCCTTTAAGTAGCAAAAAATTGGCTTAAAAATATTTTACCTATAAAAATGTTATTATAATTTAAAATTTAATGCTTGTAGACATTTTGTTTCTGAAAATTAAAAAGAAAGAAAATTATATAAAAATATTCTTAGTTATTTTATTATTATTAAAATATTATTGTGTATGGAAATGTATGTTTGTCTTTATTATTGTAAATCGTATACGATTATGTATATTCCTATAGGAATAAAAGAAAATCTAGAGTAACAGGCCATTACCAGGCGTAATTTGAACGCGTAATTATTTAATGTTTAAATGACGTATAATTTGTTAATAATTAATAAATAATCCATTACATATATAGACTTCGAGAGTCAATTTTCATTGTTCTTAAGGGTCATTCGTCCTACTTACCCAAAACATTTATTAGTAAAATATACAACCTACATTAAACAGTACGTCATAAAAAGCCATTACACCCTTTGACAACGTCAACTTTTTTCCCATCAAAACAGCTTTTTTCGCCAAAATTCTTCGCCAGCAAAACACACGCGTACCGAAAGTAATTAGAAATGTTCTAACTTTGTTCGAGCGCTCCTGCAAAATGTTCGGCAAAAAAACGTCCGTGAAATCCGGACATGAACGGAATGGCAGTCCGAGGGTTATCGAGGCGTTGCCCGAGGTGGCCCTAGCAGCCATCGTGACGTACAAAAAGCAAAAAGAACTCGGAGACTTTATGAGTTTCCTTCTCACAGCGCTCGAACGGAACTCGGACTGGCTCAATGCGGTCGTCGGGAAGCAAGCGAACTTTAAATGTGCCTTAATGGTCGGAGCCGGCCCCAATAGATTTCAGATCCAGGAAATAATCTACCCGACCAGCGAGAGCGATATCAAATTAGAAGTGGAACTACGGGATTCTGAAGATTACGACAAATTGGCCATCACTGCAATTCTGAAGTTGAGCAACTTTGAAATTGACAATTTACTCATGTACATCAAAAATCGTCTACACGAAAACCAAGTTTTGAGAGATGATTTGATAAAAGGCAAATCGATGGGCGTGAATTTTGCAGTTTTAAGACCATTGAGCGATAAACAATATAGAGTAATGGAGAGAATTGTTGTTGGGAGTTCGTTGAGGTGTGTGGTGCCAACAAAAAAACGCCGTCGAGACGAGAAATCCAGAGTTAGATCGCCTTTGAAACGGTTCAAGCGGGAAGTTTCTCTAAAATAATATACAATAAAATTGTTAATACAAATCAAAACTTGGCCCAAAATTGTCGGATGTAAATTATGTACTACGCATTAATAGTTTCCTATAACCAATGATTTATTGTGTGGTAACGAACCATTACGAAGATAAATGCTGCAATATAACGTAACATGATGATTTTAATGGATATAGAGCAAATATAGAGTTGTTTAAATTTTATTTAAATGGTTCAGCTATGCTTTTAATATATCGTTTTCAATTCGGTCGTTGTTTTATTACGAAAATAATTGAACTACAGAAAATATTTCGTTTACAATTTTCGTTCACACATTTTAATATTTATTTTTAACTAGCGGTCCCGACAGACGTTGTCCTGTCTTAACTATGAATATTGATTTCAAATTGGTATAATTAATTAAAAAATATTTCAGAAACAAAGTGTTTATTATTCTAATGCTTTATGTTATACAACATTCTTTGTTTGTTTTTCTGGCTCGCATATTATTATATCATCAATATAATTACTCCGATCGAAGCATTTATTTTAAACGATATTCATTTTTCTTACATCCTCTTTGACGATATTTTCAGCACGCATTCTGTCAATGTTATGTCAAACGCCATAAGGTTACATCAAAAAGTTCGAATTGTATGGTGTAAGTATTCTTAAATTTCCTAACTTTCCGCGCATTTTTTTTCTTTTTTTTCTTTTATAAGAACCTTCTCCTGACGATTACAAAGACAACAAAAATCAGACAAATCGGTCAAGCCGTTTTCATGTTATGTCGTGACAACGGAAAACGGGTTTCATTTTTATATATATAGATAATATATAAATGTCATATATAATGCTAAATCTACAATAGATATACATATTATCTTTTCTGAAATACCTGACAATTATAGTAAACATAAATGTTCTAACAAATATAAATATTAAAGTTCCAATTTTTGATTTTACTAGTATTTTTGTTTAACAATACCAAATAATTATATATCGGATTAGGTATCAGATAGGCACTTAACAATGCTTTTCTAAATATTAATCAGCTGCCGATATCAAGCTCCGGATAATTAGTGTTTATTATTTGATATTTGCGAAGAATTCGTATGAGAAGTGTCTGAACTCCTAGGTTTTTGAAGATGGAATTTGGAAGTTAAAATAGCGATATCATACTTTTTATTGCTTAATGGTTGGACTAAAATATGATGCTATATACTTTGTTACAAAAGATTAATTATTTAGTCAATGTCCGATTTCTATATTAAAATTGGACTTTGATTTCTGAGAATCGGAATCTACTCGTAGATTATATTTTTTTATTTAGACCTGAAAGTAACTTAATAATCGTGATTTATCAAGGATAAAAAAGGTCTTACGCGAGTAATAGAAAGTACGTTTCACTTAAAAGGCGTGTAATTAACGCTTTTTTGAATTATTTAACTAAAATAAATAGATCTGTGTAGGAACTTGTTAGGAAGGAAGGTTTTATAGAATAGATTTTAGTTTCGTAAAACTTATTTCGTGGTTTGCTGTGGAATTTTGATCATACTTGTAAATATATCAAACTTGATGGGCCCTTTCGGTATATTAATCTGCAAACATACATTACATATAGAACATGCTTCATTTGGCAGTAGCGAGAAGCGGCGAGATCGATATCGCGGATTCAGGCCAGCAGTGCGCACACCTAATAGCTTTAGGAAATCCTTTTTTCTCATAAAATCCTAGGTCATAAAAAATCCACACTTATTACATTTTTTAAGCATTTTTCTATTACTTATTTCCAAATACCTAAGACCTTCTTCCTCTTACTGACTATGTATTAGACAATACAGTTGTTAACGAAAATAACTGTCCTTTTAATTCTTCTACAACTAAAGCTTTTCCCACTCAAACCGTACATTCAGATTTGCAAATTGGCACAGAGTAATAAGATACCATACATAGGCCTATAGAGCGTTTATGAGTAAGAATGATAGTCACCGGATAGTTCCATTAACGCTATCAATCTTCGGAAACAAAAATATAATAAGTATGTTAGTATTCGACTTTGTATGAATAATAATTTATAAGCAACAGCCCTAATACAGAAGTGGCAATGGGCGGGGCATATAGCAAGATGCACAGATAAAAGGTGGACTTTAAAGACAACTATATGAAGCAAGGGAAAGAATGAGAAGTGGACTCCCTAAAAAAAGTGGATATATAGATATAGTAGCGTTAGCGGGAAGCGAACGGAGAAAGAAAGCGGAGAGATATTTGGAAAAAGCTGGAGGAGGCCTTCCGATCAATGGTCCTGAAGGAAGTTAGGATATCGAGTGACAGGAAACAAAAAAGAAATATACATAACAAATACAAACTGTATATATAACATTTGTAAAGATTATAAATAAACGGCATTTATTTTTATTTTTGTAAGAGCAACAGTGGTGATGAAAAACATTTGCAATCGAGGAGTCAGTATCTTAAAAGCGGCCTTTAGTTTATCGTCGTCAGCAAAACTTATTACTGAGAGGGCAAAACCGGTAATAAATCACATAACTATTACGCCAATTACCCAACGGTCAGCGCGGTAATCCCTACAAGGACTTAGAAAAAGGGCAAGGATCGACCCGTAATCATTCAAATTGATTTATTTCTATAACTAGATTGGGCGAGCAACTTTTTTAACTCCGCCTTGGACGAGGAGAACGCATCCATGACACACGGTCAAGCGTTATTTTAAGTACAGGCCAATTTGTCTATAAACAATTATGACCATAATGGACCCTATGTCGGCTTGCTTATATAAAGAATTTAGTGTTACAAATTGGATGTGTGAGCTAAAGTGAACGTGTGGTGGAATTTTTAAATAAAAGAATTAGATTGAATAACGTTGTAGATTACTACTTTATTTAATAGTATTACCTCGAATGTTTTGTCTTTTAGTTCTGGAATTTATTGATGCCGAATTCTATATTATATTCTGCCTTATAATATAAATTTTAGGACCATAAAAATGAGATCATTGCTAGTACTTTAATAACTCATAACACAGTCCTAGGTTTAATTTAGTAAATCTATTAGTTGGGTTCATAAGTTACTTCTTTTAAAGAGGTAAATAAAAATGAAACAGAATTGCTAGTTACGGGGTTACAAAGGAATAATAAAAAATGCTTCGAGGTTTTAAATTATAACAGACAGTCTAGAAAAAGGAGTTTCATAAATTTAATTTAACAGTCACCAACTGTCGCAGAAAATATAGCAAAAAGTATGGCATTGGTATTTTATTCTGACCACAGATTCATATTGTTTCCGTCTCACTTTTTTGTAGTCTTAAACAAATAATGAAAATTAACTTATCTCAAAAATATATTTTTTTAGTTTGTTTAAGAATATGTGTTAGCCAAAACGTCATCGTGAATTTATGAAAATTTTCAATCCAAAATGTTTTCCCAAAATGGCTACTAAGCGTCATTCGCCCCATAATTGCTTGGAAAACATTAAAGATATAATTTAAGGAAGATTACAGGACATTTTTTACCTTAAATTTTTATTTTAAACATTGCAAGGGATTTTGAGAGCACCTCGCGAAATGGCATTTAAGATTGAATGCTATTACAATAATGACACGCTGGGCGTTATTATTACTGTGCACCTCGTAACTGTGATTTAAACCTGTGAAATATTCGGATATTTTAGAATTTTATCGTTCTAGTATTAAATTTCTCGTATGATTTGGTTTATATTGGACATACTATGGCAGGGTGGATATTCAAGCCGCTATTTTGAAGAAGCCACAAGAGAACAGGAGAGCCGAGTGACTTCGTAATGTCTTTGATGTCTTAGAAGTTCGATTCCCAGTTGGATACGAACTCCAATTAAATTTGTAACTTGTATTCATCGCTCGGTTGTATAGCAGCAAAAATGTATTAATGAAGTCGATGAATATGTGATAGATAACAGAAATTGCGCGTCTCGCGGCGGCCATAGATTCGTGTAATTGACCTTTGACCTGCCTGATGAATAGTAATGAATATTGTAACACTATTTTGTTCGAGTAATAATCTTTTATTCCAAGTCACACATTGTGAGTAACAATTTGTTACATTGTTTTTTATACAACTGACTTCAGACCAAAAAGTATAGAATCGAATTTTAGAACTTCCATTTTCAATTGATGAAAAAGTTTTTGTTTAATTAGTTTTTAATCCAAAAGGCACTTGAATTAAATCTATCCACAGACTGAGACATGCTTTTCAAACAAAGAAATACCACGTAATTGTATTCTTATTTTGAATTATGTTACAACACAGATTACAAATAAATTAAAAACAAAAATTATGTTACTTTTTCTTGATATTATCTGTCTTATGTCATATTGGCGTTTAGTTCAAATAGGCCAATACAAGATTGTATAAATAAAATAACAATGACAACAGTTGGTCTGGGCCTTAGGGTTAAACCGGTGCACATCTGTCGCAATACATCGACCCCGGGTCCGCACCTGCTTCCTGTCAACCTGCAATGTTTGAAGGATGTATCAAGTGGATCCTTGAGTGAATTTTTACGATCATTACCTGTTATATCGCCGACATGAGTAATGTGGGTCGTGAAATTGGATAAATCCATATAAATATATAAGATTTTACGTCGTCGTTACATAAAATTTAGTTTAGCTATAAGCATAACTCGATATTTTTTTTATATTATGGCAATAGGTTTCACTTTACGCCAGTTTCAAATAAAAGATTGGGAAACTACACGCGATAAAAAATAAACAAAGTCATCAAAAGGAAATGAAGGGAATTACGTATTAAATTTTAATATTATTATTGATTTAAAAGAAGATGCTACATTATAATACAATAAAGGATAAAACGGGACATGAAGTAATTGTCCGGAATTCAGAAAGAGGTGCGTAACTCGATGTTTTGAGGGCTTTTCAGCCATCGTGATCCACGAAAGACTGACATATCAAATTCACAGAATATGATAGTTGCCATATTAACGTCATCTATTGCCCCAAAACCAATCT